CTCTTACATCAAACTTCCGAGCTAGGTGAACCAGCTCTTACATCAAACTTCCGAGCCACGTGAACCAGCTCTTACATCAAACTTCCGAGCCACGAGAACCAGCTCTTACATCAAACTTCCGAGCCACGTGAACCAGCTCTTACATCAAACTTCCGAACCACGTGAACTAGCTCTTACATAAAACTTCCGAACCACGTGAACTAGCTCTTACATAAAACTTCCGAACCACGTGAACTAGCTCTTACATCAAACTTCCGAACCACGTGAACTAGCTCTTACATCAAACTTCCGAACCACGTGAACTAGCTCTTACATCAAACTTCCGAACCACGTGAACTAGCTCTTACATCAAACTTCCGAATCACGTGAACTAGCTCTTACATCAAACTTCCGAACCACGTGAACTAGCTCTTACATCAAACTTCCGAGCCACGCAAGAAATAAACTTTATTCTAGCAACTTGCTAAAACGTTTCAATGAAAAGTCCTTTACTCAGGAGAGAGTTAAATATTTACTTAGGAAAGAGTTAGAAATTCTGAATTTTTGAACGTAGCACATCTCTAGTTACTATGGAAATCGAAAGTAAGAAAATAGAATAAAACAACAACTTTAAATCACAATATAATGAAATAAATTCACACAGTATAAAAAGATATATAGCATTAAAACTAAAAAACAACATTAAGATTGATGCCTGATGTTTACAGGTACTCAATGCAAACAACAACAAAAAGTAAGCCTTATTTCAATTAGTTTATAAAAATAAAATAAAAACACTTTGGTTATTTATATTAGTGCAAAGCAACATTGATCTTGCTCTAGCCTTACTAAACTCAATGAAATCTATGACACAAAAAATAACGTTTAAGAATTTCAATAAATTAGGATTAGAATGGTTGATGAACATAATTAAAGATGAATGACACTTTAACATTGAGGAATATGCTTCCTTTTCAGCTATACTGAAATGGTAGAAATTACAAATATTCTTGGATCAAAGAGTTTATTATAGTCAATAAGCTAAAATCTCTTAATAATTGGTATTGGTTTACCATATTATCAAAGAAATTCTCAAACATATTTGTAATTTATGTTGAACAAAATACGACTGACACCGAGTTTTGAATGTAAGCAAATTATTAATAAAAACTTCCAGTTAATGAAACATTCAATGTTACAAGTTATTATCCGGAATCGACCAAATACAGTTGTTTTTTTTTTATTATTTACTTGGCGAATTTATTGTTATCAAATTTCTGAAACTCATCATCCATTAGAGACATTTCCTTTACGTATATAAAGAAATAAATAGATAAAAGCTATTAGATATGATTATTTAATTTATGTGTATGTATAGTATTGGAAAATAATTTACGTAGACAGTAAAGCATGTAGGTATAAAATATAAATGTAATATGATTCCTTCCTCTCTAATATATATAAAAAATGAAACATTAAGTAGTCACGTTTTGATAGTTTACACGGTGGTTGGCTGACGTCCTACATATCATAAAGTGCCTTATGATTACAAAGCCTATAAGCGTTCAGTAGTACTACAGTGAATCCAGATTGAAATATCGCAAGCTAAGCATATTTTAGCTGGTCAAGAAAACTCCTCCCGAAAAATTACCACAAGACTCCATGTTTTTGTAAGAGCCGTATGGAAGACTGAAGAGAATACACAAAACTGGTGACGTTAAGTATCTCGGGTTGTGTTTTTCAGAACACAGACAAACGTAGAGTATATATTTAGCAAATCACCATTCAGTGAATAGAGTTATGGGTATTACCTACAGAACAATAATGTACCCATTAATGTCAAACGGTCTGAATAGACGTGTAGCTGCTCTCGAAAAATTTAATCAAACCAAAAGATTAAAATGAGCATCACACCACAAACAGTGGAATGGAGAAATCTTGAGATATTTAACTACTATCATTGGCTCAATTATTCAGCAATGACGCTATCGTAGTCAGTGTACAATGTCCACGGGAAACATGGGGTGGGGTGATCAGTACAGATTTAGGACTGCATGTCAGCTAAAAGTGTCTGGACAAAAGTGATGGATTCTCGACTGCAAACCAGTGCATTCTTTATCAGTTATTGGCGGAGGGGGAGGGGAGAAATTCATTTTTCAACAAGACAATGACCCCAAGCATACAACACATATATAGTGAAACGATACGAGTTTAAATAGCCCTGTGAAACACTCACAAACATGTCTTGGGTTACACATAGCAACAGTCTCGAGACTGTATGGAATTACATAGAAACTAAGAATGTTAAAAGGTGAACAAATGGTTAAACTTAATTGCAATGAGAGCTGTGAATACGAGACTTATGGAACAAGGTTCCACAGTCGTTCATTGATAAACTGTATGACGTCATAAAACAAGGTGTAATGCTCTGTGTTAGGCAAAAAAACTCTCATACAAAATACTACTGAATTATACAACTTATGCACCTTTTTTTGTATTTCCTGTGATAATGTTAATACTCTTACCATCTAGTTACCGTTTCCTTTGTTTGCGAATCCTGTACGTGAATCGATTGTTTCAATAACTATTTCCATTACGGCATTTCATAAATAACATTAAGGATGCTGTTATTCACTACTGAATTATGAGAAATACAAATACCAGTTAACATATTTGTAGAACAATGTAATATGAATTCCAAGCTATTTCTAATATCTTAAGTACCCAAAACGTTACGAGAAAAAAGATTAAAAAACTCACCATTTACTTCCCTCAGGAATAGCAGGCACATGAGCATATTCCTATACATTTTGAATTGGTACTCAGCGACGTATTGTTATTTCAAGTAAAAAATATTTTTCTCTTGGAGTTGTATGATAAGGTTAGAGAAGACTCACGTGCGTTCCCCAATCCATTTTATTCGTGCGAGCAGAAAACAAATTCAATCTTCTGAACACCTTTCATTCTTTTTCTGTGGACATTAAAAGTTTGACATTTGACCTTGCGTTGATGTAGTGGCAACGGTTCTGATTATAATCGGTCTGCTGTCAAAGAGAGGTAAAGAAGGAGAAAAAAAATATTTATATCATACAGTGTTAATACAGCCTAATAAAACTTATATAATAGAAATAAGAAATAAAGGTAGTGTATAACAAAGAACCAGGTTCAAACCTTTATTTCCTAAAACACATCTAAGTAATACCACTATCACAATATTTATACAAAAGACGTAGGTACACAAGGACTTTTTTTTTATCATCAGTATTCTTGTCAAACAATCTGAAAAATATACATACTACGACACTGTTCCACAAACGAGTTTTTAAAATCAGGCTGTCAGACTCTTATACAACCTGCACTATTGTTAAAAATATAGGTTTTTATTTCACTACCAACTTTAACTATAACACAAAGTTTTGTATTATCACTTATGTTAAGATATAAAGTATTTAACAGAAATTTAATTTTATAATTATGATATACATTTCTAGCCACAAGAATGGAGGCTAAATGTGATAACGTAAATATCAAAAGGTAATGTCAGTACTTTATAAAAAAAATAACAGTTTGTTTCAAAAAATAAAAGCACATTAAAAATGTACCCTCAACCAAGGGAAAAAAATCTTAAAACATTTATAACATCAAATGTAAAATAAAACAGGACATGTCTTCGTGAAGTGGTTACTAAAAGTGCATGATACATGTTCAAACCAAAAACAACAACAACGAAATAAAACCTCATCTTTTCGAGCAGGATACTTATTTATATGTGCTGGAATCAACTTTAATTAAACTTTATATCCACATCGTATTACTGATTAGTGCAATTAATTAACATCGCTCAAATCACTCCCACTCCATTGGCTAAAAAGATGGTGCACAAGAAAATATATATATATATAAAGACAAGACCATTGAAAAAAAAAATAGCCTAAGAAGAAACTATTAGTAATCACAGAGCCAAACAGAGGAGCTACGCAAGGTTGAATACGTTATGTTCGAACGATTTTCAGTATGTAAATCAGCAAGTCACTTGTCAACCACAGCCGATATAAAGTCTCAGTGGAAAGAACTTCATTTTGATATTGTTTGGCGTTACGTAGAAAGTGTGATGCCACGGAAAATGGATCACTTTTGGAAAGGGTATGTAGCAACCTTTCCTGATGCAATATTTTCCGAGTGCTTGGATCAAGGATTTAGAATTTATGACGAGGATATCACTTGTATTTAACGGCATTAGAAAAGAAAGGAATATGGATCAATATGAGGTACTAGAACCATCCAGAAAAAAAAATACTTTTGGCAGGCGAGAATCCACAAATACAAAGTTCAGTGGCAAAATCCATCCAATTAATACAGTCGTTAATATGCAACATGATCAAGATACATGATGGATACGAGGCTAACAGGATATAGGATTAACAGGATAAAGCTTTAAATCATACTCCCTGTTCAACCGTCGCATACCTTCTGCAGCTGAAGAATGAAACGAGTATTTATGCTATTCTATGCGAAAACATATCGGTCAAGTAACCTATGGATTTATGTGAGATGGAACTATTGAAACGTACACTATATAGACTATAGAAAACTGACAGAGGATTGGTATGTTTAGATGATGATAGGTTACAACTGGTCCTTTTGCAATGGACTGCAACACTGTGGTTAAGCTCCAAAATTGTTTTAGTATAGCATACTTAACCTTATGTATCAGATACTAGATTTATCTGACACTGCTAGAGTGACTTATGTCACAGCGTTACCAACAGCTTCCTGGAATTATAAATATAAATGGTTACGAGTCTTGAAATCTAAAATTTCTTTCACTCGTGTTTATACTAACGATGTTCAAATGTCTCAAGCTAAGCAGGATTAGGCGTAAGGACAGTTTATGTTGTTGATTGCTTTAAAGCAAGCTAACGGCATTGCTGACGTAAGCCCCGAAGTAGCATGGGCAACAGTCAATAATTTTTTATAGTCTGAAATTGTATTTGAAAAAAAATACAAATAAGAAACTATATAATATTTAGTTTGTAGTATGATATGTTGGTGTATGTGACGTAAAGGAAATTCGTTGAAAATACAAATAAGAAACTGTATTTTATGACCAATCAAAAAATTATCAAAAAACTCAAAAGATATATTTGCTAATACGGGTGTTCTTAGGGTGAAAACAATTTCGAAACTATATAATATTTAGTTTGTAGTATGATATGTTGGTGTATGTGACGTAAAGGAAATTCGTTAAACGGTAGGTTTTCTTTTTTAACACTCGGAACTTGTTTTGGAAACTCTTTGTTTATACACCGTTTTTTGTAATGCCTTCAGGTTTACTTTGTCAGTAACAGCACCACTAGGTGGCTGGAAACGTTTGTTTGTTTGTAATTACGCACAAAGATACACAGTGGGCTATCTGTGCTCTGCCCACCACGGGTATCGAAACCCGGATTCTAGTGTTGGAAGTCCGCAGACATACCGCTGTGTCACTGGTGGGCGGCTGGAAACGAGAAGACGCCTAACTCAACAACGTGAATTATAAACAAATAGGCATATATATATATATATATATATATATATATATATATATA